TCACCCTGTAGTTTATTTTATCATACATCATGATCACGGGCAAACATGTTATAAAGTCGTAATGGTTTTTCTTGGTAAATTTTTCTAGGAATATTATTGTGCGGTCTTATTCTCAATGTTTTCCCTATGGACCTTAGCTGGAGTACTAAAGCTGTTGTCAGGCGTAATAAAATATAGTCTACCTACTCATACGTCGTTTTCACTCTGCTGACTTGCGTTCGATAATTGATCTGAACTGCGTCAAGTTTAATTTCAATGAACTTATCGCATTTAGACGTTCCGTCGGAAGTGAGTGCGGTGACGTTTCCAAAGTTTCTTTAGGCGATAAGAACGAATATTACAATAATATATTGTTATTATATTATATTCGTGTGAATGGATGTACCTACTCAGTATAATAATAATTGTGCTGTACGGTACAATGCATGACGCATGTCTGCACCGGAATAATATTTCGCTCTACACTTCCGAGGACATTTCAACGTCGTTCGAATATAATCGAGCTCTAATATTATAATATAAATTATAATACGTATAAGTACGTATAGAGTGTCTATGCTGTATGCATTCGAAATAATAATAATTCATCTCTGTTGCATTTAACGTTTTGAATTTCACTCGTCACTGTACTACAGTAGGGTATAATATTATAACACAACATTTTATACAATTTACATTTAGGTACCTACTAGCTAGTTACTAGTGTTACTACATGACATTGGCACTCAATTCCGAAGTCGAAGTCATTGGAGAAGGCTTATAGTCGGTGCGCAAGTCTGATTGGTTATATGATGAATAGGTATGAATAAAGTAAAATCATTTTACATTTTTAGGAATACTACAGAGCACAACTTGAATCATACCTACTCATTGGTGGACATCCGGAAGGGGCTTAACGCCCCCGATAACCACTAAGCCCACTCAAAAATGTTTGCCGAATTTTAAGAAACATTTTTTTCAAATATACTTCGTACATTTCAAATGTTAAGAACATTTTCCTTATAATATTATATATTTATATAACCATCAACAGCCAACAGGAGGCGCCAAACAGTCGATCGCGATCGACTGGTCGATGTTTCTAGGAGTATAGGTCTAACGCGAATAAAAATTAATTTCACCATTATCGATCAATCGACGATCGGATACCTATTGCGAATTGCTATATTCTATTCTGGGTATTTTGTATTTACCAAATATTTCCAAATTGATACAAATTGCTACAAGTAGCACTTACTTTGCCAGTTAGCTCTGTAACGCGTGAGCACAGTTTTTCAGATATATGCGTAGAATTAAAACATGGGTGAGAACTTTTATGCCCAAAGATTGGTTTACAAATCAATCTATTATCTTCACGTTGAAAAAGACCTAACTAAAAACATTGAAAGTGAAGATATTTTAAATGAATTCTCAAAATCCTCCAGAATGATGGTTTTAAAATAAAATATCCATTACTGTTATTACCTAATTATTGATATGTTAATAGTCCTTTTTATGCACTGTATAATTTTTTAGTATCGATATATAATAGAATTTTGGATAAAATAAAATATGAATATATTGTTATTTTTTGGGAAATAATTGAACACTAAAGGAGGTGATAATTGACATGTCCCAAATAATTTCAATAAAATGCCCATAAACATAATGGGGAATCGTAAGTTCCTACATGAGATTAACMGGTAGACAATTACATACGATAATTCCTACATATAGTTATGATATATAAGTTCCTACTCGAAAAAAGTAAAGTACGTATGTTAGTTCCTACATGGCGGTAAACAGGTACTTATGTTAGTTCCTACACGATGTACATTATAAGTTACAATTATGAATTATTATTATTTTTTAAATTATTAAATATTAGGTATATAGAATGCATATTACATATATATTTTTTTACAATAAATCATGAATTATTATTTTTTTAATTATTAAATTAATAATATTTATTAGGTAAATTATTAAATATTATAAAGAATTATATATTATATAGAATAAAGGGTTAAAATGTTTGACAGTATTATAATATAACTGATATTAGATTGATAACTTATAATATACGTAGTGTAGGAACTTACACATGTACCTTTTTTTACCGTGTAGGAACTTTCACATGTACCTGTTTTTTACTGAGTAAAAACTAACATATGTATTTTGTTTACCTGGTAAGTCTCGTGTAGGAACTTACATTCGTCCAACATAATTGCGTGACGATTTGTGGAACATGGTACAACCCTCTAAACCTCCTCACTGTAGCATTGCAGTACATAATATGTCAAAGTGGCACTGTAGGTATTTATTTTATTGATTTCATCGAAAAACCTAAATATGACCTTGGTCAAACTAGTAGGTACCTAATCAATATTATAACATTATGATTAAATATTTATACACATAGAAATTAATTCGAAAAATATCAAAATCATTGTCAAATATCGAAACAACGTACTGATGACAACAGTGTAAATTTAGTGGCCTATATACAATGTTATATAATATATTGTAACAAAGTTTACTATTGTAATTTAATGAATACTGGAAAAAAAGTTTTTTAATCATGACGTTCTGTTTGGTTATAACTTATAAAATAAATATGATTTGTGAGTTTTTGAAATTACAAATAAAGCATCATTTAAAATTTATTTTCAATATTAAATTTCAAATGAGTGCTTTATACTTATTTTATAAACCACATTGTTAAGCTACCTACATCTCAAGCAACTTAAAAAATAAAATTGTTGAATCTCACTTTTTAAATTATGACAAGATTGTAATTTTAGAACAAATGGTTGTTTAAAATTTTAAATATTATAATTAAACAGACAAAACCCAATTATTACAAGTTTAAAGTAACATTATGTACAGATAAGCTATGTATTTAACAAAAAGTAAACTTAACATTGGTACAAAAAAATACAGAATTATATTTATAGAACTCAAATATTTCTGAAAAAGTCAATGGAAAACAATGAAATTACAAAGTAAAGAAAGATGTTTATAAAAAATATTATATTAAAATTAAAACGTTTTAAATATCCAACCAAACTATTTAATAGTATAATACATTGTGTTTATAATAGTCATGTTACCTATTGGCTATTTTCTCATACAGTTTGAATGACCAAGCTACAAAACTAATATGTGGTTAGATACACCTGGAGACAGCTTTCATTCTTTTGATAAAGCTTTCCATTTTTTTCATCATAATGTTTGTACTGTTGAGTGATAACATTTCCACTCGGGCACTAGGTATTTAATAAATCATCAGGAGGCAGGAACGAGAGGTTACTGTGCGCGAATGGCAGAGCCTGTGGAACCTCACTACGAAGGCAGCGTGGACGAGAAGATTGATTCCGGATATCCGGAGGTGGCTGAATCGATCAAGGCTCGGGAATATGACATTTCACATGGCCCAAGCTCTGACAGGGCATGGTTGTTTCCAACATTATCTGTGGAAGAGGAGGAGGGCAGCTGATCCCCGCTGCTACCACTGCAAAGAGCCGGAGGACAAAGTAGCGCATACGCTGTTCCATTGTCCGCACTGGGCGGAGTGTAGGCACGGGATGGAGCAGTGCATCGGTCGGCGACTACGGCCCGAGGATGTTCCTGATATCATTCTGGGGCCGGAGCAGGAGCTCCTCCCAGATGACAGGTCAAGGAGAAGGCGGATTGAGGCATTGGCGGATAATCAGAGGATAGCATTTGGCATGATGGTGGAGACAATACTTGGGCTAAAGGAGGAAGCAGAGCGCTCCAGACAGGCGGGTGCACAGTTAGGGAAACTTTATTATTTTKTGGGCCGAAGGCCAGTTTTCCAGGGTGGTTAGAGGCCCCCACGTATGTAAAATAACTACGATAATAATTGACGGTGAATAAACGATACGGGACCGGGTGGCAGTATTGTGCTAAACATTTTTCCGTTTTTCGAACGGAAAAAAAAAGGTATTTAATTTACTCACAATAAAATTCTAAAAATGTGTTTTCTCTTTTAGTCACTTCAGTTTTTTCATTTTTCAAGGTCAGTCCAATAATAAGCATATACAGATTGGTTTTAACACATACAAATATATAATTATAAATAAAAATACATTAAAATAATAAATATTTACAAAACTATTATAGAGAATATAAAATTTAACCAAGATAATAATTATAGAACAAGATATGTAATACCATCAAAATATCAAAATACAATTTATATAATTTAAACCATAGTTAAATGTTTAAAGCTTATACAATTGTCACTAAAAATAGAAATTAGTTTTTGTAAACATAACATAAAATCCACGAACCAAATATTTTAATATTTTAATTTAATAATAGAATTTATATTACAACTACAAATTTGCTTTGACTCCACGAATAAGTCGACAACGATGTTTCCAGGCAAACTAATAAGAAAAAAGAGATTTCTCAAAATTAATGCTTAACTTACATTATGACTTAAGTATTAGTTACATACCGTGTAATCAACATCTGTTATTCCTTTTTTAGCCATCACATCAATTACCTCATTTTTTATGTTATCTTGAGTTGTACCAGACACGTCTATATAAGAACAGTTGGATGAAGCATAATGAACAGAAATTGCTTTTCGAAAATCCTGTAGAAAAAAAATTTAAATATACAAATAATTTTTAACTAAAGTATAAACATAAGCACTAAGATTAAGTATATTATACTTGTGTTTTATTTATTCCTGATCCATGAAGCAACAAAGGATGGAAAAAAACTGTATCACCTTTCTCCATTTCCAAAAACACTTTTTTATGATCATCGTGATTATTGTTTATTTTTACTTCATGGTACATTTTATTTATTTCTCCCTACAAAAATCATAATCAACACTTTTTTTAACTTAACTAGAATTATTAATTCAATATATAATGTAAATGCTATAATATTTGATAATTTTAATATGAATAAACAGAACTAACATCTTTGGGTTCTGGATAATTATGAGGATACAAATCACCAGTATGTGTTCCTGGAACTACATATAGACATCCATTGTTCACTGTAACTGGAACACATGCTGTCCAAGACGCTACAATTAAGTTGGCAGGACGGAATGGAAAATAATGAAGGTCCTAAAAAAAAAAATTAATCCAACAACACACAGTATATCATAGGTACAATAAAAAATAAATGGGTAAAAAGGAATAAGTCAACTCTGGTCAATTTTTTGTATTATACTATTTAGTAGAAAACAATGTTAAACATAGTTTTTTACTGCTAAAATTTTGTATTTCTTTTCAGTGTTAAATTAGCAGTGATAAAAGAAGTTTAATCACATTAAAAACAGAAATGAGACTACTCTTATTCTATACTGAAAAGTAGTGATTTATACTTATTCTTTTTTACCACACACAGTCTATAAACTAAAATTGTAAATACAAAAATATTTATTATTACTTGATGAACTGGATGGCGAGAACTATTGGTACCAATATCTGGTTGTTTGTTTATAAACATTGAATGCATTGCCATAACATTTGGTCCAATAAAGCTTTCAATATAATCCAACATCTAAGTTTAATTAAAAATTAGCATAATAACTGATTATCTAACTTGTTATTTGATTCATACCTTAGGGAATCTAGCATACTCATAAAATTCGTCATCCCAAAGAATATCCTGTGCTTTTCCAAATAAATATTCCCCTTGATCACCTGCTTTCATGCGAGATATGTCTTTMATCATTGTTATTCCATTCCGTGGAATTCTTCCATGACACAAGTCTATAAATCGGTTGCTAATATTTCACAAATAACATTATTATTAGGCATTAATATAATATTATAACTTATTAAATACACATTAGAGCACTTTAATTCATAAAATACTATTACCAGCATCTGTCTAACAAATAATCAGGAACTAGTTTAGGAATTACTAAATATCCATTTATTTCATAAAAATCTCGCTGTTGTCTCGTTAATATTAAATTTGATGCAGAATATTTATAATCAGAAATATTTGTATTGTATCTATATTCCTGTAAATTAAAAAAATATATATTAGTTTATAAATATTATTTGATATCTTCCACAAAAAAGTTTATTCTTTATTAATAATGGAATAACATTTTAAATAATTATTATGAACATTATATTTATAAGAATATAAGACATTTAAGGATTTTTTTTACTATTAAAGGCATTTAAAGCTATATTAACTAGAAAATATTATTTGTTTGTTATTTATTTTCAGTTAATTTCTATATAATAGTTGTAATACATATATATTTTTGTTAGATTGTATCATAGATTATATAACATTTTATATAATCTGTGGTTGTATTTTATAAAAAAAAAAAGATAAGATCTAACATTAATCATTTATTTACAATAATAGAGTCTAAAAAATAAACTTATCTTCATCCTTATTATGGTTGATTTTATAAAAACTACATCATTTGTTGTTATTAACAATTCATTTTAAAAAATTTGGTTTTTTATAGAAACAATTACTGGGGAGGGGGCTTGTACTACATGTATAACTCTTATAAATACCAAACGAATAAATAATAAACATTAATATTAAAATACTGGAAATATTGGTATTGTTTTTAAATAGATACATCATACATATTACTCTAAGTTCTATTTTATATAATATCATACAATTTAATGGATAGTGATAGTAAACTACTATCTACAATGAATATTATATATTTTATAATATTATAATTATAATAAAATTAATTGTTAAAAAGAACCTTTCAAAACCTTGCAGCACACCAGTAGAAAACCACTATTCTAGTAACTAATAGATACCTTTGCAAGTTTTTTTTCAATAGTTTTTATTTTTAAATGATTAAAATTTAAAAATAAATATTTAATACAAACTTTTGTCACATATTTTATTTATTTAATACATATTTTAGTAAGAATGAATATTTAAATATCTTACATTTTTTTTTTGTTACATGAAAATACATGTCCTAGGAAAATGACCCATTATATATACCTGTCAAATAGGCTTTTAGCAATGCTTTATATTTTAACTATTTAGATTATTATAATTTACTCTTGATACCCAATACAAATTAAAATGAATATTTGTCTTAATAAACAAACAAAATAAGTAGGAAACAATAATAGATCATTTTACTCACCATAGTGTGGTTTCAGTAAGCAATATTAATAAATGAAATTCTAGATAAAAAAGTCTGTTTGTAGATGGAATGACCGAGTTAAGAGTTAAAGCCTATAAACAAAACACAAACATTGTTTTTGTTATTATCTCACATTAAATATAGGTAGTATTAAAATGATATGGTACTTAGTATTTGCAATTACCTACAGTAGTAGTAGTATTACAGAAACCTCTGGATAATAATTGTAGCACAGGTTAAATAACACTGAACAATAAATCTTAGGTTATACTGGTTGTAGTGGTATCTTTAGTAGTAATTATATTGATGTTTAAAATGTTTTAATCATTAAAGTTTAATCCATTGTATTCTGTGGTAATATCAGTGATCTTTAACCTTTATTGCAAAGAGGATCCCCCCTTCCACCGACCAATAGAATTATATAATTTGATTAATTTGAAGACCTTAAATGTTGAAATTATAATTATAATTACAGCAAGGAGAAATGGTCAAATGGACTATGGAGATTCCAAATTCTAATTCCAAATTTGCCAATTTAATTCAATCCACCTTGAATTTCAGATAAACACCTGATAAACAGTAATCGCTTATCAAACGAAAACCATGATAAAATTACGGTGATAAACAGTAAACATATGTTTTCGTTTGCGATGGAGTATCAGCTTGCGCCTTGCGACCTTGATAATATTTCTCATTCAAAGCTTTCAATCGAGCTGATTCGCCTGATTCTGGTGTGACTACTTATTTCTTATATTATATTTAGAAATATTTTGTACAAAAATATAGTACATTTTTAGAATATATATACATGATGGCGTCCCTTGGGAAAGTCTTGTGTGGTACGTTTTTCACCAACACCAGTTTACGGGTGTTGAGACGTTACCCGATGTGCACAAGTAAACGCTATTTAAGTCAATCGAAAATCGTCAATAACCTTAATCTTCAAACATGCAGAGTACCGGTGGTAAGAACGAATTTATTTATTTATTTATCTATAATTCTGCGAGGCGACGATATGTGTATGCCTGTTATACAAGTGAGATACACCCACTAACGTGTTAATTTCCGATTCAAAGGCTGATTCTGGTAGTAGTCGATGGTATTCGGACACGACAGCAGCCAGTCGATTGACTGTGATTGAAGTAGAAACTAGAGTGCTGAATGTGTGCAATGCGTATGATAAAGTCACTGCTGACAAGGTATGTAAATTTTATTTTATTATATTTTCAGACAGTCATGCGGCATTACAGTGTCAAGCCACCGATGACTATTGAACAAATTAAGAAGCGTGTCCTATTGGTACTACAATTATACGACAAGGTTAATCCAGATAAGGTATACACAATTTTATGACAACAAATAAACATTTAATTGAACTGAATAGCTACCTTCGTGTTTATATGTAATGAGGATGAATTACTTAAAGAACCGTTTGGGCCAGTAACTTTTTAATGCCTATCCATTTTGCAATTAAAATATAACTTGTACAACTATAATAATACAAAAAAAAATGTATTGCTATTTTAATATGATATAATTTTGAATTCAAATTAATTGATTTGTTATAATTTCAGCTCAGTCTTGAATCACATTTTATCAATGATCTTGGATTAGACTCATTAGATCATGTTGAAGTTATCATGGCCATAGAAGACGAATTTGGTAATTCTTATTTTCATTTTACATAAAATAAAAATACTAAAATTTGTTTTAAAACTGTAAGGTTTTGAAATACCTGATGAAGATGCTGAAAAGTTGCATAGACCTAAAGATATTGTGCAATATGTGTGTGATCGTGAAGATATTTATGATTAAATCATTCAGTCCTATGTGTCTAAATGTTCACTAAATGTAGTTTTTCCAAATATTATAACAACTCATTGGAACAGCAACACTGATTTGTTATTTTTTTAAGAACATAAGTATAGTAAGTTCTAAAAAAGTTTTTTTTGTCCGAAATACATTTTTTTTATTATAATGATTATTATTAATATTATTTAGTTTTAATCAAACTTAGTATATTTTTTATGAAAATCCTTTGTAATATTTAAATGCCCAATAAGCATCGATTCCGTATATAACTCCAAGAATAAATCCTAATGTCTGAAAACCAAAATTAAATGAGTTAAAGCTTTTGAAAAACTGTTTTATTCTATTATTATTTTTCTTACATAAGCCAATATTACTGCTGAAAATAAGGATGAGAATGGCATAGTCATAATAATTGGATACAATAATGTATAGACTGCTATTGTTAATAATGACGAAGAACTCAAATAACAAAATGATGCAAAAACTCCAAAAATTGTTTCCTGAAAATTAAATATATAAATTAAATTAGTTATTAATCTCACTTTCACAAATTATGAATATTACATACAAAAAGTGATGATCTAACAAGTACTTCGGTATTTTTTGATAACAAATAAGATACACTAATGACTGTTGTTGTCATCAAACAACCAGCAACAGTTGTAAGATATGATTCATATGATGTTCCAAATGTTGGAATGTACTTTGTCCCATAAAACATCATTATACTTTGACAAATAGACCCCAGTATCTATATAATTATTAAATACAAAAAAACAAAATTGTTCAAATATTATACATCAAAGATTTATTTTGCCGTAATGTTGTAATAATAAAAATTGAAATAAAAAAAATTATACTCATTAAATTAATTTTTACAATTTATGTTATTATTTTTTTAACATAATAATAACAATATATTTTACTAAAATTTTTAAGTTTTACTTGAAAACTACTGTGAATAAAAAAAATTAACAATAAATTATTTATTAATGATTAAACCAATAACCTGCATCAGTAAACTTTGTCTATCAACAATCACTTCACTTCAGAATATATAATGAATAATTCCAAATATTATTTATTTATTTTTTATCAACATTAAATTATATGTTATATTGGTTATTGCTATAGTATTTTATGTTTAAAAGTTAATTATAGTATTAATCATTAAATATAAACATTTTAAAATATTATGTATCATATGCCTACTAATTAAAATGAATGGTTTGTCTTTATCAATTAAAAATTAAAAAATATATAAGTCAATTAAAAGATGTAAATATTAGTTAAATTATAAATATACCTCTCGACAAATGTAACTTATTAAAAATAATACATTAATACAAAATTTGTAACCATTGCATTGTATTATGCATTGCCATACAATTTTAAAATAAAAAGAAATATGTTTTATGTTTGTGAAACACTATACTTAACGTTTAAATCTTTAAATGATTAGGATAATAATAAACTCGCATCTATGTTGTCTCCATTTTACATACACAACATGGCCAAATTAATGTTTAAATGAATCTATTTAAAAATTATTAACAATCAATCTATGAGGCGCATTAGATAATATTTTTACCTTTAAATTTAATGACAGGTCAATTCACTATGATATAATAAACAGCAAAACAATATAGTTTCTTCTGAATGTCCAATTTGTCATGTTGAGCATTAAAAAGATAGAGACACAATGGATAAAACATTCTTTTGATATCATATCTGCAAACATTTAATTATATAGCCTCAGGACCTTAGCAAGAACCTGTAGCGCCCCTGGCAGAAAACCAAATTTACGCCTCCATCATTCAATTTTTTTTATATTATCATAAAATGCTCATTATTTAAAAAACTAAACACTCTTTCTCTTTAATTTTATTTTTTTGTAAATTATAATACTTAAATTGAGACTGCCAATAAATGAAATTTTGCACTGACCAGTGCCCTCTTGTCAGTGTCTAGCTATGTCCCTGATTAGTCTTTTATAATATGTTTTTAAAATATATTCAATTAAATAGTTAAACAGTTATTTTTTAAACTATGAATGCAATAAGSCAGAACTCAGAGCTACTACTCAATATTAGTTATTACATTTTATATTGAATAAAAATATATAAAATGAGTATGATTATGAATTTAAATTTAAATAAAATATTTTCTAATTACTTAGATAATTCATTAATTACAGCAATTAGTTACAAGATCAATATATCGTAAACCATAAAGGCATCATTTTAAAACACAAATTTGACAAAAATGCTATATTATTTAATAAGTACTTACTATTTGAATAATTTTTAAAATTCCATAAGACGTTGTGAAGTACTGCATATTGAAGCATGAACATAAACAAGACTGAGATGTTGAACCAACATAGGGTCTACTTACTCTATACATTTCAGGATGAAATATTGTATTAATGTGTACTTCTTATATTATTTGTTATTTGCTATTGTCTATAGGTACTGCACAAACTAGACTAGTAGGTTAAATGTATAAAATATCACTGTTCAGTTTCCAAGTGTATTAATTGTAATTACCCCCAGCTGAGTAGTATAATATGGTATTTTTAAACATTCTGAACATCTGATTACTATTAACACAAAACTCTTAGTATGCAATGTTATATGTTTTTAATTCTTCATATAACTTTCAACTAACATTTAACACATGAATAAGACATTATGCGTTTATGCATGTTAATAAAGTAAACTTAAGTCTTACCAAGTTATATGAATTATATTTTAGACATATTAATATTTTACAAAATCAAGTCTATTTTAGTTGTGTTAAAATTAATAAATATGTATATAATATTAGTTAAATAAATGCGAGCACACTATTTGATTCATTTTCTTAAGGCACTTAAAAAATGTACAATAAAATAAAAACATAAGGCACAAAAGTTATCACTTAAAATGTATAATGATTTGAATAATGCAATTAAAATAAACTTAAGATGCTTAATTTTTCGGTAAACACGAGTACAGATATAGCAATAGGTTTTATTATGTCTTAATTTACTTAAAAATAACACAAACACATTTGGTATAGTATAAGTCATAAGCATATTTAACAAAGTTAATGTATAAGTTCTGAGGACATGACGGTAGAAAGTGTTTGATAAACCATAAAAATTGGCCATCATGATAATGCTTTATAATAATAATTTATACAATAAATTATGTACTTAAGCGGACTTATAATTTAATTAATCTGTGCACTTTTTGCTAGTCGTCCATTTTGTTTGTCTATGTGGTTATACTCCTTATGTAAAATATTATAATTGACAGAATGTTCATGGGCCTCTGTATGACCTATAACCCCAGATTGAACTTAGCAGGTAAAACGCAGCCATTATCAATCCCAGAATCTAGACACACAAGTATGAGTATTTTAGAACAATTAAATTTATTTCCTTAAAAAAATAAAATGCTTACTGATGCAATTACGAAGTGATTTTGTGGGTTACGACCACTATTATCATTTGCATCGAGCAATAGGAATACAGATGCCACCAACAAAAATACAAATCCAGCTCCATGATATATAAACTCCTGCAAAGATAAACATCATTCAAATAATTGTTTTTTAAATGATTAATAATTTACATAATTTCAATTTATTAACTAATCATGTTGGTAGGTGTTTCATTCACTGCACACCATTACATGTCTATCAAGTTGTAATAAAATCTATATTTCAAAATACTTATAGAATATTCATTAAATTATATTTAATATAAATACTAAATGCATAATGAGTAATTAGTAACTACCAACGTAAATGAATTCAGAATAATTATAACTAAGACTAAATACTCAAATTGATAGATTGAATATTTATTCAATAGAATAGATAAATAGATAGTGAATGGTTAAGTATTTATTAAAAAATACATTGTACAACATGTATTATTCAATGTAGTTTATTACAAATTATATTCTGAATTTAAACATCAACAAATTAAAATATAATTTATAATTTTCGAAACATGCAACAACTTTATTTTGGTAATGTGTTGACTGTCAATTGTGTCGCCTAGGTAAACGCCTTAACAAGTTAATTATTATTTCTAAACATAATAATTTACAACAATATTTCTTTACGTTCATTAAATAAAATAAAACCACAACCATAGTTCCATGTATTATATTAGATTTTGTACTTACAAAATTAGTTTTAGATATGATAGGCCCTGTGGAAATGGATAGCAGACAAGAAATCAACAACAGAAGACTCGTTAAGAAAAACGCACTAACTGTGCCCAAAAAAAAAAGTTGTGCGTTGTGCGTGCCATACACCCAGCAATGACATAAGTTATCTCTGTTATAAATCAACAGACCCAAAACAATGCCTCCTAAAATCTGAAAAAAAAAACAAATACATCAACATTTTTATGTTTTCAATCTAAATATTAAAATATTATTTATTAATATTAAAACTAGAGTCTAGGAATCCGTTATTATTATATCCTACCAATTACTGAAAGTCTGTTTGTTTAATAATTCATTCTTAATTTCATACTTTATTCTGATCTATAAATCCTATATTATTATTATTATTGCACACAGGGCCGGTTATAGGCGTAGGCGACGTAGGCATAAGCCTACGGCGGCAAAATTAATATTTATATAGAGGCGGCATATAAGAAAAGTTATAATAAAACAAGAGGCGGCAATTTTGATCTTTGCCTACATTTAAAAATTTGCTTGCACCGGCCCTGATTGCACACCGACAGTTCAACAACTGGCACCCATGACCTGTCTGAGTATCTGACTGTTTTTGTATTTGGATTCTTATACATAATTTTTAATTAATATTTTAACTATTCAGTACACTAGACATGTATCTATTTACTATACATTTACCCATGTTTCACCATATAAATATTATTATTATTTTTTTTTTTTATTAATATTTTTGAAAATAATAAGTACATTTCTTTTAGTTCTAAATATTTTTGTTTTTTAATAACTTGGCATAAAATTATTGTTGCTAGTTATCGTATTATGTATGTCACTTGAAATTGTGAAGTATCGAATTAATTATGTGTGTAATTTATATACCCGTAAAATATAAATATTTTAAGAGCTGAATAATTAGTTACTATCATGAAGTGATCATGTATAATCATTTACGTAGTTACCTACCTACGCCTTAAAATAGGTACCTATAAACAAGAGCCATGTATTATTTTCTATTCATACATGTATGAATGAAACCCTGTATCAACAAACAATTAGGAGTTAGGACTATTATATATACCTAGGTTGCTAGGTAGATATGGATTATATTTAATTACTTATGAAAAGGCAACAGCCTATACACTGTAACCTAACTATAATAATGTGTCCTTGATGTGACACATAAAAAAACCCCAGTCAACCTAAAAATATTATTTAGGTATTGCAAAATATATGCGTGACCCCAAATATATTCGATATACTTATTAAAATGTTAAACGAATGGAAACTAGCCACTAAACCACTATATAGGCCTGCAGGCGTAGTTAACTCGATGTGCATCTTATTGTTAATTTTTCGATGGTGTTTTCTTATTTATATATAATTAAAAAAATGGCTCGTTGATGTGTTGTGGTTTTTATTCCAAGGACGAATTGAAAACCATTTTCCAGTTCGGTAGTTACCATAGACGTATAAATATTTATATGTCTATGGTAGTTACAGTAAAGCTCACTGTACAGCGTATTATATTGAATGCATAAAAATCCTGTCTGGTGGGGAGTGTTTGGCGCCACAGCCCTTCCGGATAACTATATATATTGTCGACTACACGTTTTTCAGTAAATATTCATTCTCGAGACACACCCTGGAAACTTGACCTAGATATATATTAAATTTAACTAAATCCATACGATTACACATTATGCCTAATATATTGTATCAAATGAAATTTATTTGTTTCTAATAAATTAATTAATTTTAATTATAGGTACTAAAATACATTAATTTATTATTTTATTGTCTTTTTTTACGGTAGTATTTTTTTAAAGCATGGTGTACGGTATTATACGTTCTAGAAAAAAAAAATATTGTATTACATCATGGTGTAACCTATTTTTTTTTTTATTTTTTTTTATAGTAGCTGGTAGATCATCTAATAATATTTAATGACGGTCGGTGGGTGTTGAATGTTAAATTTCTAAGTTTGCCCCTTGTAAAATTATAATGATTTGCTCCTCTGAATATATAAGTATCTATATCTAATACTGTCGTCTGTCGATGGTTAACGTTAACAGATAACGATTTAAAAATTAAAATTATTCATAGGTACCTATGAAGTTGATTATTTTAGAATAAATATAATTTTATATATTTAAAAAACAATATACATAATATTTTGTGTGTTTTTCCGAACCGTACTAGGGCCACAACAAAAAACGAACCCTTATTTCTATTGAATTAATGGTTTTTGGTTTCATAAATTCAAGAAAAAATATTCACTGATAATTATCTAGCACCGATCTGATCTCCATTGCAAGTGTGTGACATCATCCTAAACGATATTTTAGCCTTTTCAACCGTTCATTATACATAGTCGATGACTCGACGTGATGATAATATTTTGTGGCCGTACGATGCGCCCACCGCCCACCCCTGTTCCACTATAATATATTAGACGAGTACCTACCTATATCGAAATAGTTTCGAGGCGTAAATTATTTCATGCACAATACAATAAAATATTAGGTGTAAATGCCATTTACCATTAACCTAACCATTTAGTAAATGGTGTAATACCAGCTATAACCGGTCGTAGAACATAGGTACCTATTAATAATATTGTATACCTACAGCATAATAAATTATAATAAAATGACGTGATTTAGGCATCGGAGATTTTCTTATTTCTTATTTTGTCTATACGCGTGTTTTAAGCGTGACGTAAGTGGCGTACTAATATAAATTATATTTATAGAATTCGTCCGATGATCTTAGCGGTTATTGATCGCTTTTTTAAAATATTCATATTAAAATAAAAAAATTATAACATTGCAATATAAACTCGTTATTTTACTATTGATATAAGTATTGTAGTTTTCGAGGGCATACCTATACGTTGATGTATTCAAATATTGAAATATGTATACAATCATTATACTATACTATTCGTCTGAACCAAACATATTATAATAGGTAGGTAGGTAACATTTGCATGTTAGGTGGTCGTAGCGGGACAGACTTGCGTATTGGCATATTGCACATTTATATACACACGTGAAATAAATAACGTTATTATTTTTTTGTGAAATGTATAATAAAACATTCAACATGTTTAATATTATTATTTACCTATAATTGTTGCAAAATGTTCATGTTTTCGTGAGGCTGTTTTTTTTTTCTAACGATTTTACTTTTACTTTAGGCCTTATGTTCAAACGGTTTTAAGTGAAATAATATACTATTTACCGGCTATCAAAACTAAAAAAAAAAATAACCAATTAATTAAAGCTGGTACGATGTATTATTGATGTCTAGACTCTAAGCAAGTAGATAACCATTTATACCATACACGTCATAAATATCGCGAATATCGAAATAACTTTACCGTATTCGAACAATCAAACTGGTACCTACATTAATTACTACTTGATACTTCTCACTTCTATACATTTAATTAATGTAAACCATACTTGATACTTACAACTTCGGCTAACTTTAATAACCCAGGCACCGATTTCACATAACCAGTGTTTAGGATTATAGCAGATGTTGTAGATGTTGTGGTCCGGGTAACTGTCACCGTATGAGACATTTCTCTAGATCTAGAACATTGAATAATATGAATATTGATATAGGTATAAGTATGTGCGCTTATTTGTGACGTAAAACCGACTGTACGATAATTAACACTCGATGTAGGTAGACGTATTTTTGAATATCAGTACAATATCACATTTTCGGGACTAATAAGCAACAACTATATAAGCAATAATTTTAAAAATGTTTAATACTATATTTAACTGTAAATATTTCATTATAAGTCTAACGTGACTTAATAAATAAATTTAAAATGGACTAGGCAGGGGGACTATGTTATAGTATACAAGCGTACATCATCTATAGCGAAATTTGTGACTACCCGCGTATTATTCATAATTTGTTAATAAATTAAATGTTATTAATAATTTATTTATCCTATACGAATAACGAACGACGAATAAATTATCCATAATATTGAAGCCCTTGAATTCTGAATTCAACAAACAAAAATGTAATATCTGGCCACATCATATTAATTTTATGTACAACCTATTTCTAGCTATAATTACGTTTAAATGGTATAAAATTGATGTTAATGTTTACAACCCACGTCCATACTTATTGTCGGCGACGGCGTATCTCACTATATAGAGTCTTATTCATGAATATTAAGAAGGTTTGAAAATGATTACGTAATTCTATATACCATAAACTTAACTCGAGTTTATAGCATTTCATAACTGTGTAATAGCCAATAGGCCATTGCCATTTGCCATACATCGCAGCACATAATATAAATATTTATTTTATCATAATATACATTTTTTTTAATATTTTAAACTCTACAAAAATAATTGATTTATTTTATAAACAGTTATCAAGCCTTACGGTATCATTACTAAATGAAATAAATAGTGAAATCTTGGGTCAAAAGGATGATATACTATTTTAGTAAAAACTCATTTTACTACGATTAATTTTTTTTTACGTTATCGTAGATTTCTATATTCGTTCGAATATGGTCATGTCCTAGTGGTTCAGTACTCACCTATACATAACGTAATTTGTCTATACATTATTGTGTCACGTTTTTCTCCTCTGTCTTACGTGTTCGTATTTTTTGTGTCTATGTAGGTATATAGGCCGGTATAACTATATAGGTACGTTTGTTGTATTATTATTTATTATTTTAACCACATACATGATGGGGAACGCCTAGATAAAAATATAAGACAATACTACAATAGTGTTTTTCATTCAATGAATTTCTTCAAATTAATATTTTACTGTTGAACATATTTTAGTTTTATAAACAAGARAATACAAAATATTTTAATTTTAAGAGTAGGTAACAGATGCAATACTAATAATAATAATGTCAAGTAACCTTAAACGTGATGACGACACTAAATACTAAAACTTGGTTATTAATTTAAAACCGTATAAATATATACCTATCACCTTGTACAGTGTAATATATGACGTAGGAGTTAAAAGTGCATTTCTCATCATCAATTTGTTTTCGTATAAAAACAAACCCATGTGGCCATGTTTATTTATTATAGTTAATGATTTATTTAAAAGTTTTATAATATTAAAGCGCGTCGCGTATTTTCAGTGAATTTAAAATAAATTATTAAGATWATTATTTTTAAGACTTGACAAATTACAATTTAGAAAAAATATGACGCAATAAACAAATTTAAAAAATATGATGAGAGAGAGGCCGCCGGCCCCCATCAACCGGGCATGGCAGAAACCCACGGGTGCCCATTMAAAATTCTGCCAAATAAAACCCACGAGTTAAAACCTTAGAGTACCTTCCCCTACAGTTCCCCAGGCTAATGATCTCAGTTGTCGAAGCCCTAACCATAAAAAAAAAATATGATATGATCAAATTGTTTAACATTTAAAAATATAAACAATACATTTTGGACAACTATAAAGCGACACCGTCTAATTAGCATATTAGTGTTATAATAATAATAATAATAATAGTTAGGTACAGTGAACAGTTACAGTGCAAGTAATTTATACATCTTACAATTTGTTTAAAGTTCAAGCTGTTATTTATAAATGTTTATGCCACCTACTAAAAGATGATACATTACATATATATACTAAATTTATACCCATATATAGGTATGCTAGAATGGTGTAATATAAACACCTATATTTATAATCCAGTTAACTTTTAAAACAGTGTTTGTCTTCTATATGTAATTCATAAGTAATTCTAATTAGGTATATTTAGAAAAACAAGCTACATCCAGGAAAATTATTACTAAAAATGTATAAAATTTTGTTTTTTTTATCATAGTGATGATTTTTGTTTATATATTATGTATATTTTTTTTAAGTGTTTAGTATATCGCTATATATTTTTAATTTTATATTCTGAAACAACAAATTTCTCTTGAGTGTATAAAATATAAAATATTGATCTTTAATTATTATAGTTATTATATTTAACCGATTATTTATAAAAATTTAACGTTATGGATATGTAATATAACCTAAAAAGACGTTTATCGCGTCTGTCATAGTAAAAGATACACCCCCTTTGATATTTCATGCCATTTCACTTGAAAAACTTAACGCTATTATAAATAATAAATTATGGTATTGGCTCAATAATCGATGTTTCTCATTTCCATAAATATCATCGAACATATATTATTATCCAGTAAGGCACTTTGCCTCAAAGTTAAATATATGGCCGGTTGCCATATAAAACATAAATTTTTTTTTTTAAAACCTCTGATAAAAAAAAAAATGGTTATGTATTTGATTTTTTGTACACGTACATGTAATATTATGAATAGACAAATAGTATATTAAATTAATCAAATAACATAATTTTATCAAAAACATATGACATTTAAGTGATTTATGTTGAAAATGCCTTTAATATAATTTTGTAAATAATATGTAATCGAATATGATATATATTTGAATTTGTATGCATAACTATTTAATTGGAAAACATAGATTAACAAAATTAAATTAAATTAATTGGTCAATTAGTTCATAAACSATTGCCAATAACTATGTTATACGTTAATAAAATAAAAAGTAAATTCATTTTTTGAAACTAATTTAAGATATCAATTTGGTGAAATAATATTTAATAGATGTTAGTCGACCTATATTTTAATTTCGTATAAAATTATAATTGAATAGATTAATAGTAACTCTCACCCTAAAATGTTATTTATTACAACTTAATGATTATTTTTTTGTTTTGTCTGACATTGACAATATAATAAACGAATTATTTTTCGAACTGCATAGTTATTATTATTTATTATCCTATAGTGTCGATATTATATTATTATTTCCATTCATGTCATGCTGTCACAATACAATATAGAATTTTGCATTATTATTCACGCGAAGACGTGTACACTTATTTTACAAAATTAATTATCATGTAAATGCAGTTAAATAAAACGAATCAGTAAGAGTAAGAGAATGAGAATTAAAATACAATTTATTCATAGAAAAAATGTACAATTTACTTTAAAAAAATAATGAAATATTAAAATATTGGGGAATTTAACTATGGGGTTAATATAACAATACAAACACATCCATTATTATAACGAATAGACAGGCATAGAATAGGGTTAAAAAAAGGTAAAACCATGTCAATTTCAATAAACTTTCAATAAACAATTTGCACACGCTAAAAATATAGACAAATCTCCAGTTATGCGACAATACAAGTTAGAAACTGCTCAATTTTTGTACCTATATTAATATTTTATATTGATCTAAAAATGTTTTATTTATATTCTAATATTACATTAAATAAATTAAATAATATAATTACCTATCGTTCATTGCTCTTTACTTAAGACTTGAATTTGAAAGTATTTAAACCATTTTTATTTATTTATATACGTTTAATAAAATGTATTTAACAGAAAAATAAACCGTTAGCGTATTATACTTGTATTGTTGTAGCACGTACGTTCAATTAATAATTTGTATATGGTAGCAATATAATTTAAGCACTAATTATAAATATACATATATATATATATATATATATATATCCATATTATCTAATTCTTCGTTTTTAAGTTTTTAAACAAATATTTTAACTAAAGAAATTAATAACATGAATCATGATATCAAAATATATTAATTTAAAGACCAATAATTAGTACCTATTTAACAAATTTATTACTGGTTATCAAGTTAGGTATCTCCAAATTGACATTAATATATTATCTAATTCTACATTCTTGTGTCTTTAAATAAATAATTCAATCAAATGAATAAAAAATGGCTTGTGGCTCGTGAGTCATGATATAAAATATGATTCAATATTATCAACTGTTTGTTAAGTTTATCAGTGATAAACGCAATATACCACACCTATATTATGTACATAAGAACAGTCATAATTGCAATTTTAAATTAACATTCGATGCAATAATAATAGGTATGTAATTTTGAAATTTATATTATAAATATCATGCTCTATGGCCCATCCCCATGACAAGTAGCCGGAATTTCAAACAATGCCTGGTAAACCGTTGAAAAATATAAATCGTTAATATTATCAAAGTTAAAATTTAATAGCTTGCGAAAAATAATAACAAATTAATTCGTGTATAAGGAGTAAACTTATCTAAATTAATAAAATTTAGTATGATATAATGTATATTTGATTTATGATGCATCATAATAAAATATTACATACATACCTAATATAGTACCAATACTAACTTATATAGCACTATTTAATAGGTTTAAGTAATTATATTTATAAAAATACTATGTATATATAATATGTACTAATTAAAATATGTTATTAAATGTCGTTGTTATTCAAACAACTTCGAGAATTATAATAATATATTATGTGAAACCTATATACCATAACTGCCGACAGGGATGTGTTATTTTGGATTAGTTGTGTAAGGATAAAATCAGTATTTTTTTTTGATATAAGTACCTACATTTTAATCCATCAAAACACTTAGGTATATAATATATTAAACGATAACGGTACTGTAAGTTCCGATTAGTAGTTGATAATAATATATCATGAAATATACATAGGCCAAATTCGTAAGAACTAGGTCAATAGGAGGATACTATATTTAGATGATGCTTACAGCGGAATGCTATCATATGAACAACTATATGTATATTTTAATTTTAATATTTTAATACGTATAAAGTTTTATGTAAAATGGCGGCTATCCAAGACAAAAAGTTTTGGAATATGTCCATAATAACCATGAACTCAACGCCTCTTTAAACTTAAAAATATTGAAAAAGTTTTAATTACAATTTATAATACATTCATTGACAAGGTATTTAAACACATATTATTACAGTCGTATAATAGATACAACCTTATAAAATTGTACTGAGAAATTAATTTTCTACACAAAGGTATTAAATTTGTTGTTTTTTTTTTTGCTAGCGTATGTTTTTACACTATAGTAAATTATAATTAACATTTGACTTATAATATTATGTTATTTATGGGTTGAAAAATTAATTATATTATCTCTAAAAAATACTACTGATTTCTTATAATAGGTATCTAAAATTAATATGATGCATTCTCTAATTAGGTACTTGCTTTTTTATAACACATTTATCATTTAAATAATAAAAATACTTGATTTGTGGCTTTTATAACACCAGAAAATAGTCTCGAAACCTTTTATTGACAAACATGACAGATTCACAAAGGTATCGTCAATATATTAATACTATTATAGTATACTATAGTAGTTATATTATTATACTGTTGTGAATTAGTGCTGGAGTTAAATTACGATAACACTTCAGAATAAAACAACATATATATTATAAAATGTGTATAATATTATAACTAAATTAATAGTAGGTATAAAAGATGTAATATGTAAAATATCTTACCTATAATATATTTATAGAGCGATAGTTTCAATATTTATACAATTGTATTGTATAAATTGATTATGTTTTGCTGTAGTGCACTTTGGTATTGTTATTGTTATTATATTATTATGATAACCACGATACAAACAAAAAAAATACTATCGATCAACTTTCTGATTGGTAACGAGCGCGCAAACTTGCGTGATTGACGTCCAAACGTTTACTGGTGAAAAAAAATAGTCCCGAACGTCGGACACGGCGCGTGTATAGTCGTATAGTGACCATAAAATTCCACTCTTTCCAACGCCCACCGGGCTTTTGAACACAAACTTGTATTCTATTTAGGCGACCGTCACACCAAACTTATAAATTATGTTATTACTATTATTATTATTATTATTATTATTTTATTTTTTTAAACACTCTCCGCCGTCGTCGAGAAAGTTTCTTGTTTACCGATAGAGAAAATCATCGTTTCAATCACGGAAATATATATATATATACTATTATATTATGTATATTGCTTATATAATAATATTGTATACACCTGCAGCGAATCTGAGAAAATTCTTGTAATTTTATTTATATGATGAGTGTTATTAATTATTGTGTCTTTTCAATAACTATGTGTCTATGTACATGTAGTTTACTCGATTAACTCAAAAGCTGCGGTCACGTGACGTATATCCATCGTAATCGTGTCATGTGTACATATTATGTATAGTTGTAATACGGATATATTTATAATGTTGTTATAATGTGGCCGCACGTGCCAACGGTTCGTACAACTGACGACTCAGCGATGCACGCAAATTTGGACTTGAGCGCAATTATTAAACTGATTTATATCGTGCTTACAAAATGTCTCGTTATTCGTATATTTTGAACTGACGATTGATAGGATGTCTTACACTGTTTCGTGGTATCCATCTCACGCGCTGCTACAAGTGTGCGATGCATTAAATTTACCACTCAATAGATTTATTGGAATCGTTTCTAAAATATTTTATTTTTGAACCGAATTGTGAGCAATATAATATTCAATTTTATTATTGTATAACACGCTTACAATACTCGCTTCAAAATTAAAATATCTAAAAAACTCTTTCATTAAACCACACACAAATATACACAATATGCCTTTGGGTTTGATAATATAATATATAGGTCAATTCATTCTATATGACATTAAAACCAACGAAGCTAAATGTGAACTGCAGAGCGTAAGTTGTCCATGTTACGCACTTACAAGACGGAAACAACAAACATAGGTAGGACGTTCTCATATAACTTGACATTTAATTGATATAACTATTATATATAGCTGCTGCTCTATAGACACCGATCAATAATAATGTTATTGAATCGATTGCAATATTACCAAACCCTCGATTACCTCTACCAGCAATTTCCTGTAGCATATCGAATGGGTCTGAGAAAAACCTTCGTTGATAAAAGTTATACATAATACAATATGGTAAAATATTGATTCCTCAGATATCAGTTAAAAATAATTTCCATATAGCGAGTAGCCGACAACGTCAACCTGTATGTATACCTAGCAATTATAGCTAACAAATTTTTTAAAAAAATTTTGATTTGTTCGCTATAAGAGATTGATATTCGACATTCCCAACAAGCTAATGTTTATCAACCACTTATTGTACATTTTTTCAATCATGTAAGTCATATCCGGTCCAACCAACTTGTTAATTACCTTTTTTTTTTTTTTTCTTATGGTATCGAGGACTGGAGGAGGAACTATGGTGCCAGTACTTCTCCTAAACTATGGTGCCAGTACTTCTCCTAAACTATGGTGCCAGTACTTCTCCTACTTGTTAATTACCTACCTATCTATCATTATAAATATTTTATATTATTAAACTTATCTTATATTAAATTAAATTTTTATTTGTTCTAGTTTTCTAATTATCCATTATTAATTTGTTTTACGTTATCATAGTAATTAATATGTCTATTTTATTTTGTATTAAATCTTAGATTATAATATTATTATTATATAATATATACCTACTGCAGTATGGTCTGTACTGAACAATTGAGCTTTCATGAGTGCTTACATTATTTACTGTTAATATTCCAAAAAGCACGGTTGTATTGAACATTTAAAGCACAATCGCACTTCGTGGACCAACTAATAGCTTAAAAWAACTAGCAAACTGCTAACCTAAACCAAATACCAATATCACAAATTAACAATGGTAAAGTTTTATCTTAGTCAGTCAACATAAGCATATAATATCTTGATATTTTGGAGTTATTCTAGATAAAAATTAAAAATCAACTTGGACCCGTACATTTTTCCAAACTACAACTAAAGTTTCCACTGATAACTTGACATTATCAGGCCCTTGATTATTATAATTTACAATCGATAAATTTCTCTAGCTCGATATGTTTCAGATTACAAGGTTTCTAAACGTCCAGTAGGTACGTATATAAAAAAATATAATAACATTAATTGTATTGTTTTACTTATTCCGCTTACTTTAAAGTAAAAAAAATATATGATACAAATATACAATTATAATTTATACTACCCTAGTTGAATTTCCTTTACCTCAATAATACACAATAAAAAGTAATGACTAAAAATAAAAACCATACAACGGTTTTTTTTTTATCGTTATTGAGACAATAAATACAATAGATATCATTATTGTTGAATATTTCTGTTACTTATTATTCAACTAGTCGTGGTGGTTTGTTATCTTCGGCAATCCATGTTTCTCCAGTATTTCCATGTTCTAAAACTGTGATCAGTGCATTCCCAACATTATCTGGCCTAGTAGATAAATTCACAAAACAAATATTTTAAACGTTTTGTATTGGTACTCAAGCAATATTTCTATGCTCACATTAATTATAGTTTATGGAAATTGATCATAGTTACAGATTTTTATTTTATTCATGTACAACAGATAAATATTTATAGCATATGTGTTATGTATCAAGTATTAGCTATTAACTATTAAGTACCTACCTAATAAGGATACAATATAATTAGGTATGTGCTTAAGTATTTTTAGATACTTTATGGACATATAAATAAATAATAGATTATAATATACCTACTTAACAAGAAAGTTGGGTTTAAATAATTTAATTTTTGTCAATCAACGATAGCCATGAGGATTTAAACCACTTGAATTTTGATACCTATTCTATAAGGTTGTTTTTTTACTGATTTCAATAGAATAATAATTTTGAATTTTAATGACAGTAAACAAGAATGGATGAGGAGCAACTCTCTAATTGATTTGATTATCACATAATTATTACACATTTCTAAGTGCATCTACCGTTAATATTGTGAAAATTATTAAACCAATTCACGAGAAACTGTGTACCTTATCTATGCAAACATCATTTGAAACAATAGCTTCAAAAAATATACGTCAGTTGAACTGACTGACTCAGTTCATATTTAGCTTAACATTTTGGATGCTGCGTTTCAGTATTCAGTATATCAAAGAGCGCCGCGAATAACGGTTGATTTATTTAATGCGGGACACTCACTAATATCCAAAAAGTATTAATATTTTAAACATTTTTTTACATGATTTAAAGTTATTATAAAACAACGTTCTAAGTTTTTTACGTTTTGAATTACATACAACACATGTTTTAAATCCATCCTCGTAAGCAGAATATTTTTCTGATACATAAAAATCGATTTAAAATGAGTAGGTAGTATATGAGTTATAACTTATAAGTATTTTATATTTTTAGTCACTATATTATAATTATTAACCGCTAGATGGCATTATGTATACGATAATAGCTTAGGAACTCAAGTTATAAAACCATAATATCTAAGAACGTAATAATATATTACTTATATACATATATCACGTTATTTAACTTATGGAATTATAGATAAGCCTACAATACCTATTCAAAAATGTTTAAATAAACATGATAATATATTAAGAATATTTAATTACGGTTAAAAATTTAAAATGTTTGAAAACTTAAAAATTTTAATACCTACTAAATATTTTTAAAATTAGTATTTTCTAACTTTACCTCCCCTACATTATAGAGCTTACAGTAGGTATCAACTAGATTCACATTCCTATCAAAAAATATATTGAAGTTGAAGATTTAACTGATTTAACTGTTCAAAAAAACGCAGCTAACTCGCACAAAAATATAATATACAACAAAAAATTATTAATTATCATTATTAATTGTTAAGTCAATACATTCACCGCTCCGCTCAAAATTTAAAACATAATATTATGTACATATGTTCATAGTTTATTGATCATACATTTATTTAAATAAAACGGTGTAGTCTCATTACATGTTTGTATGATATACCAATACAAAAATTTGTGTAAAACGAAAAATGACTAACAAAAATAGGCCCTTTACTGCAGTTTAGTGTAAACTGTCAAATATTAATATAATGTTAAATGGCTGTATTAAATAGATACTCCCATTAGATTAGTTTATTCGTTTGTAGTTCGCACACCCAATAATACCTCTTCCCTGGGACGGAGCACTATATAAACATATTTTATTATTATACAAGCCCAATTTTAGCCACTCCCGAGGGACTATAAGCATCCGATCACATAATATTAAAAAAAAAAATTTGGCTCATTTTTATAAACATAAAGTTTATATGACCCTAGATATTTACAATTAAGCCTGTAGGTAGTGTAGGTATACAGAGTGTAACAAAAATATCTGATAAATGAAATAACTTTTATTTTAAGCAATATTTAATTCAATCAATACAGTTGTAAAAATCATTTTAAATTCGAAAATTATAAATTTTTTTTAAATGTTTGATAAGAATATTTTAAGTAGGTATTTGTTAAAATCTTATTTTTTTTTTCAAAGTTTTACTTTTTAAGTTATTGATTCCTATTCCAAAAAAAATTTGACATTTTAAAAAATCATAAAAAATAAAACACTTTACTATATGTTTTTACAATCTAAATTTATCTAAAAACCCGGTTTGAAAATTAACTATTTTTATTTTTAGTATAAAAAATAAAAATTAATAATTTTATATTTTACATATAACACAGTCATCAATAAATAATATACCTACATGTATAAAAAAATAAATAATGATTGGAACAAAACTTATAATTTGTCTTCTTGTTACACAATACACTCTGTATATAAAACTATATAAAATATAATGTAAACTAACTGTAACACACTGATACGGTTACGTTCTTAAAAACTTTATGAAGTTGCCTATTGTTCGTCAAAATATTCTAAATCTGTTCTCGTTTGCACATAAAAGATTTCGGAAACAATATTGATACATAAGTATATACGTCATATTGAAATAAAATGAAATTATTACTTACTCTTGAATTTTGTTACTCTGTTGATCATTTTTTAAATTTTCTAGCTTCTCGACACGTTCTTCTTTTTTGTGCGGAATTTCATTTTTATAGGCCGATCTTACACTATTATTGGAAGTAAATTCCGGGCACAAGGTGATAATTTTAACACCATGAAGACTGAAATGATTTTTTTTCTTCAAAGTTCAGATATAGAAACAAAATCACTGATTATATTGTAAGACACGAAGCATGGTAAATACTAATTAATAAATAGTAATATTAACATAAAATGCAGATACACGTACTCCAAAACTTCTCGTAAATTCCATCAAATATTTTTTCGTAGACAGGTACATGGGACTACAATGATAACTGTCACTGTAAACCAACAAGGAAGACGTCTGTATCACTGTTCCACCACTTCCCCCATTGGGAATTCCCATATACTTGATCGCCAGTAGTGTACCTCTGACGACTCCACCCTAAGAAAACACAATGTTATGGGTACATACCAAGTCATCAACCGTGTTTAAAGTCTTATAATAATGTAACTTTTCATTTCTTTGCACTACTTCTTAGTGCAGTAAATAATTTAAAATAAAATAAATTGAATTTTTTTCGATAGCATCAATTTTTAGTAAGTCACCGTTTAGTGTTCTTTTTATGCATGCATCGCGTTGGTATACTTTGTATACTTTGAATACTCGAGGGAAATCAAACAATTTCCTCTTGCAGCAATAATTTCAACATATGTTGTCCCAATAAATATTTACTTTTCATAAAATTGTCAAAATAAATAAGTAGGTACCGGTTGCGTAAACATAGTCAACATAATATTATACTAAAAAGTAAATATATACCAATGCACACAATCAAACACGTTAAATTACCACTTGAACTCACATAATTGATATTGACTGTAGCAGACCATCGTCGTTCAATTGAATTGTCGAAAACTCCAGCATTATTAATAACAATGTCCAATCGACCAAAATGTTTGATACATGTTTTAAAAGCATCTAAAAAATATTATGTCATTATTATTTTTTAATTTCTTTTGTGGTCCTCAAAAAACCCAAATTATATCACGTGAATATCACATATTATAAAAATATTTAAAAACAACTTTTATGTAAATTTTATTAAATTAAATTAATGATTCTGTCAAAAAAAAATGTAAAACAAAAAAATGATCTCCTTACTTTCAAATTCATCTTCATTAGTGACATCACATTTGGTCGAAAATACATTGATATTTTGGAACACTTTTAGAAACTGAAGTGCTATAGCTTGGCATTTATCGACATTAACATCACAGAGTAACACCTGAATTAAATGTGTTACATTGTAATTTATAATATAGGAATAATATGATTAATATGAAAAATTGAACACAATGTATAATTATATTTTTTTTAAATTTTTGTTTTACCTACCTTAACTTTGTTTAGAAGTAAACATTTTACGTAAGCGTAACCAATATCCGATGCTGCACCGGTCACCAAAGCCACTTGATTTTCTAAGCCCATATTTTATTTTTTTTTTTTTACTTAAAATATTATATTCTCTACAACACAAATCAAATATCAAAATTTATAAAACTCGTAATGAGTGCGAGCTGCTCAATTGCACTAGGACAACAACAATGATGTGATGTTCAAACTTCATAAAATTTCTCAATACAGCTAATTTGAAATGATAACAAGCATATTAAAACGAGTTTCCAGTACGTCTACGATGTTATTGATGTCTATCAAAGGTTATAGTTACTGATAAATTATAAGGGTATAATATAGGACAGGTACCTAATAAAAGCGTGAACTAAAATATAGGTATCTACCAGTGTTATCTGATATAATACCGATTAAATGTGTGCATTTGGTAAATCTAGAAACTTGCCAATAGAATCATAATATGGTATTATTTTTAAAACGTGGTTTATATCATAGACATTTCGTAAGTATACTAATTGTTTTCTTTAGTAGATAAATATTTATTATATATTTTTTGAAGTACCTACGTATACAATGCTACAGTATATATTGTATATGTACCTATACTATACTAATTGACAAAGATAGATAATAATTGTATTATTAAAATACGGAACTTTGTAATGGGGAGGGAGAGGGAGTTAATATTAGCTAGGTTTAGGAGATTATTGTTTTTCATATTATTACTTATTGGTAGTCTCAACAGTACATACCATGAGGTCATGATGTGCTGTTTATAGTTTCGATCAATCAAATAGCTTTTCAATATCTATTAGTAATTTATCTTTCTAATCTCAAAAAAGTATTTCGTGATAATTCAAGACGCAGACGGCTATTATTTTAAATAGATTTGTACCTTGTGTATCAATGCTGTTATTGATCTAATGTAAATAACATGTCTGATAGATATATGTTGCGGTAAATGTTCTATTGTTGTATCTAAAATAAACGAACAAAAAATAAAACTTCGCACTGTAAGGATTCAAAATATAATACTATAATAGCGATTAGTGAACCGTGTAAAAATATTGAATGTCATTATAGCTTTAACAGTTCTAACTTAATAGCGTAAGTAATTTCATATACGGATTATTAACAGATAATATTAGTTACTACTAGTAAGCAGTTTGTAGTACCTACCTATATATTTCGACAAAATACTTACATTATTGTTATCGATAACGTCTCAAGGACGTGATTTAATCAAGTAAATATGCAACGATAATAATACAAAATAAAACACTGATAAAGACTTCATGAACGGAGAGGTGTGTAATCGGAATCTAATATTTAAGCGTAAACTAACGGAAAAATTACATTTTAAAATTAAAACAGGTGTACTAGTAATAATAATAATAATAATATGGTGGGTATTGATATAACTCACAATTATTATTATTCCGCACCGAATGATTATGCGCGACGTTGCCGACTATGATTCCGAATTCAATTTAAATATCTAAACCTTTTGGAACGTAACAGGTTTTCATTATTCAGTACAATAATAGCTATACGGAAGTATAAGTAGGCCTGACTGAAATAACATAATTTTGGACTTGACGCGGTAATACTGTTAAAGTAATCAGTTAATACGAATACCCTTATCGGCTTAACTTCTACAGGGTTAACCAGAAATATAAACATACGAAGTGAAATCGAATTATCAAAACAATACCTGGCATTGATACTGCAAATGAATGTCTGCGCAAACAGCGTAAAGTAAATGTCGGTTTGCAGAAATTATCGAACCTAAAATAATATGATCATTAAATTTTGCCATATTGTTCTAGTAAATAATATAGTAAACAACGAAGACGTGTAGCCAAATTTAAAGCACCGGATGCAATACCAATCAAGTCTACATTATTCAAAAATTATTGTTAACACAAATACGTTAAGTATAAAATTCTCCATTGATTGGCGCATTTAACCAGGTACGTCCGATCGTCATCGTTATAAAACTATTTTTAAATTTTTCTTGGTTGGAATAGTCTGGTACCTATGTTCAGATCACGGTTATCAAGTAGATACCGTGGTCCGGATGTCGAGTAGATAACCGTGGTCCGGGCGTATTGTGGCATTGCTCTGATCACGGTCTAGATATATCTTCAAAAGCTAGCCATAAGCCGGATTCCCACGACTGGTGTATTTGGCCAATATTTGGCACTGGTGGTTACTTGCCATGCCGTCGGATCGCCATACTTGTACAATTATTTGTCACTGGTGTCGTTCCCGGCGATTGTCGGTAAATGTGACACAAGTCAAAGGAACGGCCAATATACTTGTACTATTGATCCCACGACCGGTTCTTATAACAGCCAGCAATGGGAACAGACAACAGTGTACTTGGCTACTTGCACTAGTGCTCCGGTATTGGCGTACTTGTCAAGTACGCCAGACGTGTGAGCACCATATTCGTGCACTGGTCAAATGTACAATTATTGGCGTATTTGGCAAGTACACCAGTCGTGGGAATCCGGCTATACACGAATACACGATCCGGTTTGCCGGAGAGGTCGGACTGCGCAGGCGGACTGCACAGTTTTTCCGGAACAAGTTTGCGCAGTTTTCGGAGACTGTGCAGGCGGCCGGAAAAAAATCGAAAAACGATTCTTTTGGCCTGCGCAGTCATGACTGTACAGGCATACCGGATCGTGTATGGCCGTATGTTGGTATTAGCTGAGGACTATTGGCCGGAAAGCGTGTGACTGCGCAGTCCTGCGTATCCGGCAAATCGTGGCGTGTATGTCGTCGTCGGGAATCGGTTAAAACTGCGCAGTCCGACCTCTCCGGCGAACCGGATCGTGTATGGCTAGCTTAAGATTATGGCTCTGACAATGCCACGATGAGTTGAAAAGCTCATAGAAGTCATATCATATTATATAATTAAACCACCAACCGCTAGTTAAGCTTACATAGGTATCACTTATTATTTTGACTGACCTAGTCAGTAGATATACCAAATTGAACAAAGTTGTTTTAAATATTTCCTAATCCTATCGTAAAATTATATGTTTTAACCTAAAACCCTATAGTCAAGTTTCTACAGTTCATGAAATGTATGTTAATTATTTAACAATCAATATTAATTATTACATCATTAAACGCGTATTTATGATACTATAATATCTTAATTACTAACTTCTTTTTTATTTAGATATCTGCATGTGATTGCGGCACCATTGCATTACGAAACAAAAGTAAACAGCCGCAAAATCATTTCGTGTCTCAGTGGCACGTGGATTGTATGCTTGTTGGATCTCATTGCCTGCACTGGTTTTCCGATTAGTTCCTTGCACTTATCAATAACCGAGCTTACCTGTTTGTACGACAGATTTCAGCTAAAGTCGAGCAACTATTTTTTACAGCATTTTCTATACGATTATTACTCGTACTTTAGTACTGCCTGACGTCATCATACTTGCATGCTACATAAAAGTGAGTTTATAGAAATATAAAAATCCTATTGACTCTATATATCTATATAAGCATATTCGTGATCTATTATTAATTAATACGGAATTATTCGTAAAGTTGAAATTCAGCAAACGATATATTGTTTAATGTGGGCTAAAATTTACCAAAAAATGTATGCTGGTAAATATTATAATCAGGTATAAATTGATTTTAGATTTTTCTAAAAACAATTTGAGTAATTTATCCAGTCTATCGAAAATTCATTAATTTTCTATACCTATCAAAAATATTAATTAATCCAGTGTCTAAAATATACTATTATCTCAGATTTTTCACATTACGAACAAATAATTAGAGTTATGTGTGTAATTACGCGTTCTACTATAAAATACGATAATAACATTTTAGAGCCATTACGTTATGCGAGATTTTCGTTTAAAATACGAATTCAATTAATTTAAAACTATATGTGCGGCATTAGGTACAATAAAACAGACTCGTCCATTGGGATTTATCAAATTCGTTATTAAAGAGAGTCATCGATATTTGTTGAACAAAAACGTTTCACCAATATATTGTATTCATACACGAATAATACACACACACACACACCCGATCGCGTGCACGAAATACACCACCTTACACTGCACGTTAAATTGCAAACGAACCAAGTATAGGCACATATTATATTATTATCACCACGTAAACCATTGGCGTTCGGAGGTGTTCACATAGCGTCGGCGATATTCGAAGTGACGCTGTCGGCACAGGTTATCATCACGCGGCACGCACCAACGGAATCCGTTCTTCCTGCCCACGGCGATGGCCAACAAACTGCGCCGGAGCAACGCGTTCTCGTTCGCGTCTTACCTGCTGTACTACGACGTGTGCGATGTATACGAGTCGCTGTAGTTCGCTCTCATCACCGATTCGACGCTGTGCAACGGACTGCTGTACGGCATCAAGAACAAGCTGCAGAAGACAACATACCAGAACTACCGGAGCAAGATGATGACAAAGTGCTTGGTGAACGTCGGGTTCACTGACGCCGGTTGTACCTGATGAGCCTCTCCGAGGCAGGCGAACCGCCGGCGGCGGTGGCGGCCAGACGTCCGAATTTGCCAATTTGGTAACTTTTACGCCAGACGTCCATTTAGATTTAAGACTGTGGCGCCAGCGGTTGTGTCGGTGCCTTGGTGGTGCTCATTAACCACCTGTAATGACGACGGGCCCGACCTGGGCGGCGATGCACTGCGGCCAAAACGACCGCAGGGTCGGCGCTCATAATATGTATCGTCGTTCGCCGTCACGCTGATTATATCGATGACTGCAGGCCCAACAGCGACCGCGTGCCCGCATCCGCTGACTGGATGTCGACTACCATTTCGACGACGATATTGCGGCGGCGGCGGTGGCGACGATGACGACGAAGATACTTTGCTGGCCTATAGGTACTACAGCGGCGGCCTTACGCGACTAACCGCACTAACCAGGCTGTGCGCCTGGACTGGTATTAATTTTTCCCCAGTTAGTCGGTTCTCTAATCTCTTCCCATCACCCTCTTGTCACACGCACAAAAATTACACGTTTTCTACTGAAATTCAATTATATCGGTTCCCGTATCAATTATAAGATCTCATGCGATTCTTTCGATGTCTAAACTGTCACTGTGTTTCTCTGCGCAACGATACAACAACTTAATAAGGCGATCGCGTCACGTACAAAAATACATTAGGCATTACTGGTATTAGTATATTAAACCGATTTTTATTATTGCTCTGCTCTGTACATTCCGTACGATATAGAAATATTATACCATCGTCGTTATGATGTTATAATATATAAATAAAATTCACATACAAGTTGTACACAAACACAATATTTGAACAGACGACAGACGTTGTGTGTTATACATCGCGAGGACATACGCTGTCTGTTTTATTGGATCGCATAATTTCTGTGTAATCACATCTCAATCTCAATTAAAATGTATCACGGTATATAATCATATCTTATGATAGTTATTAATGTAAAGGCTTGCGATACTTATACACCACTGCAAAACGATTACCGTTCAGCATTGTCTAAAAGTTAAATATTATACGATCGTGTTGTCCAGCATATGTATTTATAACTATATTTTATATTCAGATATTCTATTATCGTAATGAACTTTTGTACAACTACAGTAGGCCAGTAGGTATGTACACACATATGAATATATGATATCATATTTTTTTTTCAATTCGCTAATTCGCCGCCCCGTTCTGTGCAATGCTTTTGTTTGAATATAATTGGAGCATCCACATATTATGACGAGTCCTTACAATAACTTAAAATGTAGCTACTAATAAACTATGCCGTTATACGCTGTCGTCTCATATCGTCATGGCCATCAGACGGTCGACAGCGTGTCAATAACCGATAGCAAAATTATATTCCACTCTATCATCACAACAAATTTTCAATCAGCTACTTACTTTCAAGTATTGAACAAATGTAAATGTTAATATTGACGTTATTTGTTTTTGTTTTACAAAATATATCTTAACTGTATTGCGAAATGTGAAAAGTTTGTTAGTGGCTATATAA